TCTCCAGGACAGCTTACCTTACTCCAGTGTGGTTTCTCTAAATTGTTTGAGACAAAATATAAAGCAGTTGAGGATAGTGATGGAAATATTGCCTTTGATGATGAAAGTTCTGATGAGCAGCCCCTGTGTCTTTCAACAGAAGCCAAAGATGCTGGTTGTCAGAAAGGTCAGGACTCTCTTGGTACTTCAGAACATCAGAGATTAGATAACATCCTAAATCTAAACGAAAAATGTAATTTTGAACAAAGTGAGAAGATTTTAGAACAGAATGTTTCTTCTGAGTCTGACGATAAGGGAAATTTTAAAAATACAGCTGAACATCATTGCATTTTACAGAATGTCACAGAATCAGAAGATAGTGATGTCATCTTTCCCACACAATACACAACTCAGAGATTCCCTGAGAATAGTACAAGGTTTAAGCCACTCTTGGATGCATCTGAAGATTCTGAAACAGAAAACCTTGTAAAAATAAGAAATAATGGTGATGGTAGAAAGACTGATGACAGAGGAAATGGACTAATTTCAAAAGAATTAAATCCTGAGAACACAACCCTGAAATCTATTATGAAAACAAAAGGCACTGATGATATTAGTGACGAATCTGATGATATTGAAATTTCCTCCAAGTCAAGAGTAAGAAAGAAAAGAGCTACTAGTTCATTGAGGTTTAAAAGAAAAAAGAAAAGCAAAAGGGAACTTTACAACTTTCCTAAAACAATGAAGAAAACAAATGAACTGTATGCGACAGATGAGGATTGTAACTCTGAGCTTATTGATGATTTTTCATCCTCAGATGACGATTTATCTGTCAGCCAATTCAGTTTCTCTAAACAGAGCCATAGAGCAAAAACTATAAATGACAGAATCAGTTTCTCTTCAAAACTGCCTAGACACAATATGAAAAATAGCACTTTTATGCCAGGAAAACCAATGAAATTTTCCAGTGAGAGAGTTGTCAATCAAGAGCACATGTATGAATCAATGGATAAATTTTTAGGTAACTACAGACACATTCTGAAAACTTTCTAAAAAACATTTGTTTTGTGCAATCAAATAGCTCTATAAGAAACTCCTCAATTCACTGTAAAACATCTCTAAAATTAAGATGCTACATTGAGGCACAAAAAAGGAAGGGAGTGGTAGCAGGATACAGAGAAGACCACATAGGTCAAGATAGAGAACTTTTCCGTCTACCCCAGGCCCATCCCCATGTACTCTGAGTCACACCCTCTCTGCCACCATAAATGTTAATTATTCTGACTTCTATAGTAATTATTTATATTTTATGGTTTTATCACACAAATGCACATCCCTAGATATTACATTTTAGTTTTCTTTTTTTTTTTTTTTTTCCTATTTAATTTTTTTGGCAGCTGGCTGATATGGGGATCCGAACCCATGACCTTGGAGTCATAAGGCTGCGCTCTAACCAATGGAGCTAACCAGCCAGCCCTATTTGTTCATTTTTTTAAAGTCGTATGTAGTCTCTCTTAATCTGTAGGGATCCTCCCCCATCCTTTTCATTGCCTTACAATTGAACTGTTGAAGAACCTGAGCAATCTATAGAGTTTTTCTCAATTTGCTTTTTGCTGCTTGTGTACTCTGGGTGCAGTTGAACATGTTCCTCTGTCCTCCATATTACCTGCAAATGAGCAGTTGGCTCCCAAGACTGGATCAAACTCACTGGAGAGCAGAAAGCCTTCCCAGACTCAGCTGCTGATCTCCCGTTGGCCCACTGTGCTTTTCAGTTAACACCCGTTGGCTATGCAGGGTCTCCTGTTCTAGGTCTGTCAGATACCACCCTGTTGCTTACTTCTTCTTTCACATGGACCCTGATACCATGCAGAGTTTGTAGCTATTGGTGGATCATCCCCACTTGCTTGTGTTTTAGAGTTTAATGGGGCATCTTGTCATCTAATTTTGTTGTAAACGTGGTCCATGGGCTTTTGGTTTTGCTATCTAGTTGCTGTCTATTTTCATGTAGGGATTCAGAGAGATTGAAAAACTGTTTCCCCTGCCACCACAGCCTGCCCAGAATACATTTAGTGATTTTAAGAATTAACATTGCTTTCACAAGTGCCTGGCTTATTCCCAAAAAAACTACATAAAAGAAGTTGACATATCAGCAAGGATATTTTGCTGTAGAAAACTTAATTGTGTTTGATTTATTTACAAATGAGGCTTTCTTTGGTGGTTATTAGTAGTCTCATTTAAAAGTTCAATATGATATATATTTTGGTACCATTCTAAATAAGTACTGGATTATCTTTTGGTTTGTGTACCACAGTCAGATTTTAGGTTTGAGGAATTATTATATAAACTAATTTTTAAATAATCAGCTGAATTTTTATTTTACTGTGCAGAAGTTGTCAGTAGTTAATGTGGAATGAATGTTATTTTAAATAATGCATACAATGTGTCATCCAAATTAGGAAAAATCTGAGTAAATTTTCTACCAGAAGAATCCTTTTGAAGATTTTGAAACTGTGTGCCATACATACTACATGGTGTTTGGAACTTCAAGGAGAATATTATCCTACTTACTCTTTTAGTCATATTATTTAATGTCTTGTGTTTGCACCATTGGCAATTTCTGGTTGAGAGAGGTTTAGGACTGAAACGGCACAAGTGTTGAAGGTCATAATTGAGGTTCATTGCCAGAGCTGTTTGAGGGAGTTTTATAGGCCTCACTTCTAGCCTTCTCTTTTATGACCACAATTTAAATATAAATTATAGGTGCCTAGAAGCAAAGCAATAAAAAATACAGCAATTTTTAAACCTCTTTCAGATTAAAGTCATGAGTTAATTTTTTTTCATTTCCTAAAAAGCTCCCATCTTGACATTCTCTGGGCATATGTACAAGAAAGACAGAATGACAAACAATAAAACTGAGCAAAGCCAACAAAACGAAACTCCCAGGTCATAAACCCCATGCTCCCATTCTATCAGTGTAACCAAGTACCTGTTGAAAGGTAGATAAGGCTAGTACCACTCTTTACATTAGTAAACAAGTTATTGAAATTAACAAAGAAAGCAAATTCACAGAGAGGACCCTCAGCCACGACTTTTCTCTTGGCCAAACCCCCAACTCCGGATTTATTTATTTATTTATTTATTTTTAAATTTTTATTATTAGCATTTTCATTTTTACAAATCCACTCCGGATTTATTTATTTATTTATTTATTTATTTTTAAATTTTTATTATTAGCATTTTCATTTTTACAAATCATGGTATTTCTTTATGCCCTTTGCCCAACCTATCACTTCCCAAACCCCCTCTCTCCCTCCTCGCCATCTCTACTAGCCTCAGGTTTGTTCTCTCCTTCTGAAAGTTCAGTGTACTGTTGTGGTCTTTCTTTCTTTCGTTTCTTCCTTCGTTCTTCCCTCCTTCCCTCCTTCCCTCCCTCCTTTGCTTCCTAGCAGCCAGTTATGAGTGAGAGCATGCAGTATTTCTGTTTCTTTGTCTGTCTTACTTCACTTAACATAATTTTCTCCAGACTTATCCATGTTGCTGCAAATGGCAGAATTTCATTCTTTTTTATGGCTGAGTAGTATTGCATTGTGTGTATATACCACATTTTCTTTATTCAGTTGTCTATCGATGGACACTGGTTGGTTCCATATTTTGGCTATTGTAAATAGAGCTGCATTGATCATGGGAGTACAGGAATCCCTTCGACATGATGATTTCCATCCCTTTGGATATATACCTAGCAGTGGGATTGCTGAATCATATGGTAGCTCTATCTGTAGTTGTTTGAGAAGTCTCCATCCTGTTTTCCATCTAAAGATTATCACCTAATCTCAGCAGTTTTCATATTGATGAGAGGAAAAAGTCATTTCCAAGTTAACCTAGACCAACAGATTTGAACTCTCTCTTTTCAATTTCTTTTTCAAAAGAATATTGTGATGTTAAAATACTAAATGATTTTTTGAGGATTAGAAATAAAGCAAGCATAATCTGTTTTTAGTTGTAATGCTGGTAGTTTTTAAAGTATATGCTAAACCATAATGCTTCATAATGATATATCACTTAATAAACATCAATTACCTCCTAGATGGAGTTCAGGAAGTGGCTTACATTCACTCAAACCAGAATGTGATTGGATCGAGCAAAGCTGAAAATCATATGAGCCGATGGGCAGCACGTGATGTATTTGAGCTGAAGCAGTTTTCCCAGCTTCCTGCTAATGTAGCTGTTTGCAGTTCTAAGGTAAGAAGAATATAGGGTAACATTATCTTTAGTTTTTATCGCATTTTTTAAAGTTACTCAATACGATCTTCTCTAAGTATTCCCTCAAAAGTAACTACTAAAACTATAAGTGACATACAAATAAGTATAAAAAACAAAACCGTTTAGAGAACTGTAGTCACTGAAGATGTTTCTGGATTAAACAACAAATCTATATCTAAATGCCTAATAATGTTGAGTTGCTTAATAGTTTCTGTATTAGTTTTCTGTTGCTTATAACAGAATACCTGAAACTGGGTAATTTCTCAATAAATGAAGTTTATTTCTTACACTTTTGGAGGCTGGGAAGTTCAAGGTCATATGGGCACATCTGGTGAGGGCCTTCTTGGTAGGAACTCTCTGCAGAAGTGGCACAGGGAATCACATAGCAAGGGCTGAGCAAGAGCACATGTTAACACACTGACTTGCTCTCCTTATAAAACCACCAGTCCACATCCGTGATAACCCATCACTGCATTAACCCATTCATGAGGGCAGGGCCCTCACAATCCAGTCAGCTAAAGGCCACACCTTTCAACATTGCCACATTGGGAATCAGGCTTCCACATGAGCTTTGGAGGGGACAGACATTCAGATAAAGCAGTGTCCCTCAATAAAAATTTGCCTATACCCCCAAAATGAAGAGGAATCTCAGGAAATCATATAGTTAAATCAGACCTCAAACCACTTCTGCTCATATAGAAAAAAGAAAGTGTGTCATTAGATTTTCTCCAAAAATATTTATCTAGAATGAAGACAGACAAAGAGAACTAGCTTCATATGGAATTTATATTTTTATCAAAGGATGTTCATAATGTTAAAAGCAATAAATACTTCCTGTGGACTCTTATCCCTTAAAATTGCTGTTATATGGAAATAAACCTTTAACTTTTACATTTTTTATGTGTTTTTTGTTTGTTTATATGTAATAACTTTCACCAAAGGTTTTAAAAAAATATTTTCTTTGCTTATTATTTTTTAATTTCTAAGAGCTAAGTGTCTGAGGAGTAGTTTTACTGTCACTTTATGGGTAAAAATTAAAAATGCATACCGTATATGAGAGTGACATTTTGTTTCAACTTAGGACTACTTTTAAGAATGAAAGGAGGAAGTCTGAACTATCAAGCTGTCTTCACTGTTTGTACCTCACCTGGTTCAACAAAGGATTTGAATGGCCTTAACAGTAAAACCAGAGTACAAAATGAAATTCAGGACCAAAGAAAATATAAACTAAACCAGAAGTTCAAGACTAGGAGGGAGTTAGAATGCAGTTATCCAGATAGTTCATTAAAATGACAAATTTGAGTTTCCTGGTGGACAAAACAAAGTACACTATCTATTTAGTAATTTCTCAACTAGTGCATTCAGAAATGTGTATGGGCAGTTTGGGTAGTCACAATGACCCAGTGCCCAACTGGCATTAATTTCTGGAGGCCAGGGATACTAAATGGCCATCCTGGACAGGGAGCAGGGAGGGGATGGGAGGCAATACCACATGCAAAGAACAGTTCTTCCCAAAATGCCATAAAACCCTGCTGAGAAACACTGAGTTAAATGGTTGTCCTTCAGGGAAAACAAAAAAATGAAAAACAGCAACAAAAAAGTGCTGTTAGGAGGAGCAAAGCTTTTTCTAGCATTTACTTTGATGGAAAACTTGTTACCTGGGATTTTAAATGGAGGCCACAGAATGATCCAGTGAATAGTAAGTTGTCTTATAATGAATGGATTTTGAAAGGCTGTGCTTTTTAGCATTTTTTAATGTAATCTAAAGGCCCAGTGCCAAAATATAACTCATGAAAGCATTCTTTCATGACCCAGGTATGCTTTTTTCTTATATTCTCATTTGATCTAGTAATATACTATCTCTCAACCAACACTGTAGACAATGTTGTAAGGGCCTACCTCGTTAGGGGCCATCCAAAAAAGGCAGGCAGAATATGTTGGGTTTTCCAGAAATTTGCTTGTTTAGGATAGAATATATCAGAATCTTTTAAATAGACAGTTAAATTTTTATTAGGGTTTTTTTTTTTTTTTTTAAACCATGGGTTTTTTTTTTAACTATGTCCTTTTCCAAACATTTTAATGTGAAAGTTCAGATAATTTGGCAAAGCCTTGTAGTGGATGTTAATGAAATAATTTTACTGGATATTGGTTGTTAGCCTATTTAAATATTGGTTGGAGAAGAAATTAATTCCTCCAAAAATGGACCTGAGAAGCAAGCCCTCAATGTAGAAGCAAATAAATGAAAATACTGGAAACACACTTTGTCTCTAACCTTGCTTCAACATTCTTGAGGTGCTCAAACCAACACAATCTCATCAGAAACCTTGACTCCTCACAGTGATTTTCAGAGTGAGGGGCATCTCTTGCCAAGAAACAAATTGGAATATCTACTCCGTTGGGTTTCTAATATACCTTTTGAGGCCATATATCTCTCCCATCACACATATACCAACTTAGTAGACCCTTTTCAGGGAATATGCAGAAATTTGTTGTTTAATGACTAAATCATGGTGGCATAAAATATTCAGGGAAAGTTTAAATCTACTAAGTAGGAGGTCCAATCCCATGCCACCAATGCTAGCAGGCCATGAACAGTCTGTGTAAACACACTCATTTCAGTGGCTGATTTCTTTAAGTTAATATGATACAGTAAAATTCCATTCTAACATTTCAAAGCCATCTTGCAGAATTTCTGAGGAAAGAATGTTCACAGTCACTGGTTTCATCATATCCAGTCAATATGACTTCAACACCTTTAATGAGGAAGTCATTGAAACACACCACCATCTTTGGTTAGAGATCTTTATGTCACTCACCAGGCAGTTTTACAGCTGGCGGTGTGGTGGTGGATGGCAGTAGAAAATTTGCAGTTCTGAAAAAAATTTAAAATAGTGCGGGAAGAAAAGAGCATAAATGAGGAGAAGGGGAACAAAGCAAGAACAAAAGAGACTCAGTCATTGTGTTAGAAAATACCTGCAAACCTCTTGCTCCTGCGGTCTATAACTCCAGACCTCCCACCTACAGTACAGTATCTTTCATCTGGGGCTCAAATCTAGAATCTTTTTGATTACGGAGAATTCTTTTGAGTGCTTTACGTCTGTCACCAAAGGTTTATTAAAGAATTTGTGTTTGAAAAGACTGTGTGTGTATGCATGGCATGCATGTGTATATGTCTGAAGCCAGAAGCAGATGTGTTGTCTCACTTTCTAAGAAAACAAAACAAATTCTATTTATTTGTATGAAACCAATACATGAGTAACAGTGACCACAATATGCCAGGAGCCTTTAACTAAATTGCACAGGAATATACTAAATGGAAAACTTGCAAAAGAGAAATCATGGATACCACAATTTTAGATAAAATTCTGTGGTCTTTCAGAGTTTCTCAATTCTTTTGATGTAATTTTTGATGACCCAAATGACAAAAACTATGAATGTACTTTTCAATTCAACCATAGGTTAGGAAAAGACCTAAAATATACTATATTTTCCATGTTTCCTTTCGTTTCTTATAGTTTGTACTTTTACAAATTAATTTTTATTTGTAGAACATATTTTATAGATGTCCTAAATTAAAACCTACTTCTCCTAAAATAAATTTCTAATTATACCTTTGTTATTTGATAATGCAAACTATGCAAAATAATGTACAAAATAAGAACACATTTTGTCTTAAATTGTACTTGTATTTTAAAACCATTTCTGAAAGCAGCTCATTTTAAAAGATGACATGTCTGATAACAGGAGGAAAAACCTCTGTGACTTAGGTTTAGGCTTAGGCTCAGACTGAAAGAAATATTTTAAGCATTTGAAGGAACTGGTAATACTTTTATTAGAGTTAATTTTTTCTTTTAGTATATGGAAGTTGTCTCAGAATTAAAACTTAACTATACCTGTTTGTGATGTGGTGCCACCTTTTTCAATCAATTGCATGTTTTCAACTTAAGTTTGCTTAAAGTTTTCTGAAAAGAAATGTACAAAGACAGCATTCAATTAAGGATTAATCACTATGGCAACTGAGATGTGGTGACTGAAGGGGGAGGATGTATTCTCCCCTCAGTTTCCTGCCAGCTGTCATAGTCAACCTCTGCTGCCTGAATCCAAGCCAAAATATAGACTGTGACCAACTCTAAGAAACTATATCTGTATTTTTATAAATTGGTACAAGTATCAGACTATAAAAGAAGACTTAATCCCCTGAATTGGATGACAGACACTTGGCACTCTTGCCAGTGTTTGACAGAGAAATAACGGGTCACTTTGTAGTAAGACCTGGATTAATAGTAAACCCTTCTTTATGTTATTGCATTGTGGTGTAAATGGGAGAACTAAGCATGCTGTCAGCCTAGGGTGGGGCAGCACGGGAGAAGTGCCTTTTATATATCCAGTGCAGGTTTAAGCACTGTTCAGAATACTGTAAATACAAAGTGTTGTGTTAGGAAGGACTTCTCTTTCTTGTATTTGTATTAGATTGGCATTTTGTAGATTACTTAAAGAAGGGATTTCTGTGAGCTATAGTGGATTTGATTGCAGTATGTTTATACAGCTTTTGGAGTCAGCAAAGAGGGATGGACTGTTTACAGTGAACAGACTCTGGAGAGATAGAGCATTCCATTATCCTATTTTTCAGGATAATGAATGGCATGATGGTTTAAAGTAATTGTTCACAAATGACTGGTTTATGAAGTAGTCCAGTAAGTAAGGTTTATGGTTTCAGCATGTAACATAATTAACTCTTACTGGGTGGGCTTTTTCATGGTCTTGTCATTTTTCTTTCTATAGCTAGACATTAACTTTATGGTGTTTGTATCAGAAAGTTATTCAAGTAATTTTAGCAGAGATCAAGATTTTAAAAATTGTGTGTGTATATGTATGAAATTATATGACTAGTATTGGCCTGAAAAAGGTTTTTATGTTTCTATCCCCAGAACTAAGATTGATTGTAGATAGTGTTCTCATGCAGAGTGTGTTATTTGAGTGAAGAATACCTGTTGCCTAGTCAGAGGAAGGAGAATCCAGTGTAAATTATAAATATATAAACCTATTCCCCTCCTAGCTAGAGGCTGTGAGAAGGTTTGGCTTCATTCATCACAGAGGTGTTACCAGGATTCATGGACTAAGGTAATTGATGAGCTGATGTGTGCAAAATACGTTCAACTCCTTGCAAGAAAGGCATTGAAATTACTCAAAATATAATATGTTTTTATTATAATTATGATTACTACTGATCAGTAGGGGTAATGAGTAAAATTCCTTCTGTTTATCTGTCAATGATCTGTTAT